ATATCAATAAAAACAACATTGTTATTATTACATCTACTATATTTGGCTTTTACTGAATAGTAATAATGCGACGACAATAACAATGATGAAGAGAGAGAGAGAGAGAGAGAGAGAGAGAGAGGAAGAGAGAGAGAGAGAGAGAGAGAGAGGAGAGAGAGAGAGAGGAGAGGAGAGAGAGGAGAGAGAGAGAGAGAGAGAGAGAGAGAGAGAGAGAGAGAGAGAGATGAGAGAGAGAGAGGAGAGAGGAGAGAGAGAGAGAGAGAGAGAGAGAGAGAGAGAGAGAAGAGAGAGAGAAAGAGAAAGAGTGAGAGAGATGGAGAGAGAAGAGAGAGGAGGAGAGAGAGAGAGAGAGAGAGAGAGAAGAGAGAGAGAGAGATGAAGGAGAGGAGGGAGAAAGAGGGAGAAACGATAAGGAAAAAAGAGAGGAGCAGAGAGCGAGAGGAAAAGAGGGAAAGAGAGAGGAAGAGAGAGAGAAAGAGAAAATGAGAAAGAGAGAGAAGACAGACAGACAGAGCAAAGAGAGTAATTAATGATCATCACATTAATGAAGCTGATGAAATGTTGCTAATGAATATTTGAACCATGATGATGATGATAGTGACGAAAACATCATTACTTTTGAAAATAAAATTATCCTAATAATGAAGATCTTAAAAGTTGAAGTATTAGTAGCAAAATCAACATTAAAAACCATTATGTGATCATAATAATACCAATTATGGACACGTTAACAGTAATCATCACGATAATGATAATAATCAAACCAACAATGATAACAAAAACACACATTTCAAGAGTAATAAAAAAACAAACAAAAAAAATATTTAATAAAAAAGCAAAAAAAAAAGATTCTATATCCTGTTTATCTCTCCGTATTTAGCGAATCAAAGGGAATCAAATGATATAAGCTGATAAGAGTGTTCAGCATCCCTTGCTGTAAAGAATGCATACGGACTTTTTCCAGCTGTAGTCTGTGTTTCAGAGGAATTACAGCTGATTGTTGATAATATTTATCGCTATCAGAAGAGAGAGGGAGAGATAGATAGAAGATGTAGAGGAGAAAGGAGAAGAGAGAGAGAGAGAGAGAGAGAGAGAGAGAGAGAGAGAGAGAGAGAGGAGAGGAGAGAGAGAGAGAGAGGAGAGAGAGGAGAGAGCATAGGAAGAGAGACGAGAGAGAGATGAGAGAAGAGAGAAGAGAGAGAGAGAGAGAGAGTAGAAAGAGTAGAGAGAGGGAGATAGCAGAGGAGAGAAGAGATGAGAGAGAGGAGAGAGGGGCGAGCGAGAGAGAAGAGAGAGAGAAGAGGAGAGAGAGAGAGAGAAGAGGCGAGAGAGAAGAGTAAGAGACAGTGGCAGAGAGAGGAGAGAAGAGAGCGAGAGAGAGAGAGGGAAGAGTGGCGAAGAGAGAGAGAGAAGAGAGAGAAGACGAGAGAGAATAGAAAGAGTCGAAGTGGAGAGAGAGTGTGTGAGAGAGAGGAGAGATATGTAAATGGCTTAGATGAGAGAGAGCATAGAAAGAGTGCGAGAACAGGATAGAGAGAGAGCACAAGAGTGCGAGAGAGGGATGAAAGAGAAGCATATTCGAAGAATGCGAGAGAGGGCATAGAGACGAGAGGAGAGAGAGATAGAGTGTGAGGAGAGAGATAGAGAGAGACAGCATTTTAGAAAGTCGCCGAGAGAGGGAGAGAGAGTAGAGCATAGAAAGAGTGCGTAAGAGACGGAGAGAGAGAGAGAGCATAGAAAGAGTGCGAGAGAGGGAGAGAGAGAGAGAGAAAAATAGAGTGTAAGAGGAGAAACAATGAGAGAGCATAGAAGAGTGCCCGACTCAAACGGCATAGAAAGAGTGCGAGAGAGAGAGAGAGGTGTAAGAGACAGAAAACAGGAGGAGAGAGCATAGAAAGAGTGCCCGAGAGAGAAGAGAGAGAGGAGAGAGAGAGAGAGAGAGAGAGAGAGAGAGAGAGACGATAGACCGAGACGAAGACAGAGAGAGAGAGAGAGAAGAGAAAGAAAGAGAGTGCGAGAGAGGGAGAGAAAGAGAGAGAGAGAGAGAGGCGAAACTTCACTTCATTAATATCATAAAGGAGATACTAAATGCTTAACCGTTGGACAGACGAGTTATTATCCTCACCTCCTCTCGATTTATATGTTTATTCACACTCATCCGGTATCGAGTATATCTTACTAACGTGGCTTAATTCCACGTCGAACACAAAAACGAACAGACGCACACACACACACACACACACAGACATCCAGCAACATGAGAGTTAACACACACAGACGTATATCTAACAATATGATTTAATTCCGTACACACATTCATACACACACACACTCAAACACATAGCACACACACATATATAGATGTATATCTTACAAAATGACTTAATTCTGTACACACGTACACACATTCAGACACACTCAAACGCATAACACACACACACACACACAGACGTATAGCTAACAATATGACTTCATTCTGTACACATTCAAACGCATAGCA